AAATCCATAAATTGTTACTCTTTTTTTTTTCTTTAAACAAAAGTACCATATAAGGTTTACAGGTTTTTTTTTTAAAAAAAAGTCTTTAGTACTTTTGAGGAAGAAGAAATATTCCTGTTGATACATGCTGATTTGAGAAAGCCAAAGAAAATTAAAAAGAATGCAAAACGTCCTTTATTGACTATAGAAAGACATATGGCTATTACAGCTGCTTTCCTCCTGTGCTGCACTCCTCTGTAAACCAGTTTAGGTCCAAAGCTATTTTTCTGTTTTTTTCCTCTCCACCCCCATGCAAAGCACTATTGCCTGGCACTGCACTATTGCCAAAAATAAGTTGGCAAAGGCCAAATATAAGGAAAGTGGGACAGTTTTGTCTGAAAACCAGTTAGTCCAGGAATATTATCAGGAATATCAGTGGTTTGCAGAAAAGGTTAAAAGAGTCCTATGTAGAAGGTGTCTAAGCAGCTGGACATGTTTAAAACTAACCTAGAATTTCCGTGTAAACACAAATCCATAAAAATCCTGAATCCACTTCCAGGATATGTGTGCAACAACTCGTGTTGATCTAGTAGCTTCTGGTAAAGAAATCTGGTCAGAAATGTTGGCTGTCAGAGACTTTCACTATGAGCTAGGCATCTGACAATCTGATTGGCTCTCAAGCACAGAAACAGAGGATTGATAATATTGGATGAACTCCATCAACAAGTGATCAAATGAAGAGGAAAATGACCTCAACATTCCATCTCCTTTAATAATAGATCAACTTTAATACAGACAGCACATAATTCAGGAATTATATGACGTAATAGGCAGGAAAACGTACATTGGATTATTCATAATTAAAGAGAATTAATCTTGGACTGTTAAATGTTGAAAGTATGTTTTTTATAAATCAGCCATTAAATAAAGTATGAACCTTGACTGATATCTCTTTATCTCAGAACTGTTTTGATTCTACTTAACAGAACAAAACTGTTCAACTTCTGTACATAAATTAAAAGTTCCCTTGTTTTATCTTTACAGAGAAGAACACAGATAGCATAATCTCCATTTCAGATTAGTCAAGCAGTGTTTTTAAAAATATAAAAGGGGCCTTAGATTAAATCATCTTTCACTTTGAAATTTTAATATAATTTTGAAGGATGTAAAATAGTGCACCTTAGCAATGGCTTGCCAATACATTGAAAAAATGAAAGACTTCATCCTTATCTAATGCAGCCACTTCTGTTGAACATTCGGTACATTTTACTGGGTGATATATCTCTTCTTCCTGGCTTTCTGAGCCAGTTATTGATTCATTACTCTGCTTAATTTTCTTGTGTCCTCTCTTTGTCTTCTTTTTCAGTGGGTATTTGTATTTCAAAATTTCTTCTTTGACAACTGTACAGTTCATCACAAACATTGCTCTGTATTGAGTTCTGTATAATTCATGCCTAAAAAGAACAGCAGGGGAGAAGGAAAAACATAGTGACCTTGACTGATTAAATATTTCAAAATTGATAACCCTTTAAATATTGAATGCAACCTGAGTCACTCTGTGCTCCAGTTATTGACCTACACATGGGCACACTTAACAATCATCACGACCTCCAGCTGTAACCTGAAGACTCTATTACAGCTATAACTCAAGGATTGTCTGTATAGCTCATATTACCATTTTATCCTGAACTTCAAAAATAATGAATCTCCCTTCTCTACACTGTATGTGTTATTTGTTTTAAATTTGTAACTTTAAGGCAGGGAAGAGATTTGCTATATCGATGTAAGCCATCTTAGATAACAATTGCCTGCTATTACTCAATCTATTGTAAACAGCATCAGTGAACTGGCAGAAGTATATTCACCAGTGAAACTGATTTTTCCTCCTAGTGTGCTGTAAAAGGTGGGAGACTCCACCACAGCAGACTCGGGGCAGGCTGCATATGAAGAATGTAAACTTTCATCACACAACAGATATCGGTCTGAATAGGTTTATGCATTTAAATGTACTAGTAAAGAAATTATTCCTCTCCATATTTTCACTACTGACAAACTAATGATGAAAAACTATGTACAGGTTGACTTAGGACCATTCATTTAATGACTGTTCAAAGTTACGACAACACTGGAAAAAGTGACTTATTTTCCTACTTGCAGCATCCCCTTGCAGCATCCCCTTGGTCATGTGATAAAAATATGTTTTAATGACAGTTGCACTGTCCCGAGGTCAGGTGATCACCATTTGTAACCTTCCCAGTTGACTTTTGATAAGCAAAGTCAATGGGAGAAGCCAGATTTGCTTAACAACTGCAGTGATCAGCTTAACTGTAACAAAATGGTTGTAAAGTGGGACACAACTTACTTAACTGTCTTGCTTAGCAACAGAAATTTGGGATTCAATTGTGGTTGTAAATCGAGAACTATCTATACTAAGTCCCTATTTATTTATTTTTTGAGGACATGCAAGGTAAATACCTCTGGAAACTGAATTGAAAATTAAACTATTAACTTAACCACATAAATAAATAGTTTATATTATGCAGAGTTCAATAATTACCTTTGACAATCAAGGCATAATGTTGTCATACAAGCAGGACAGTTCAAAATAGCATCACTGTTGGGAATGGCAGGAAGCTTTTCTTGTTGTTGTGATCGAACATTTCTTATATTATGATAACTACAGCCAAGAGAGCAAAAAAGTAAAGAAACATCACTATTAGTGTAGCAAGCTTTACTGAAATGATGCATACCAAAAACCAGAAATGGTGGATGATATTTCAATGCTCAGCGTTCTTAGTCCTAACTACATAAATATCACATCCAAAATGAAATGGCTTCACCCTCCACCACCACCCTTTTGATACAGGTTTTACACAAATTCTTATTTCTCTCCAGATTACCCATAGTATTCATATTTAATGCAAGCAGAAGCAAATTGACATGAGAAACCCAACAGGACAATCCCACATCACTCCAGAACACAAAAAGATGTCACCCTGAAGGTGTTTAATGTCATCAGACCCATACTTGCAGAACTAGAGATCTCTTATATAATTATTGGATAGGCAAGGAGAAAGTTGGTATTTACACAATCTCGGCCTCCAAAAAACCCCAGTTCTTATTTAACTGAATGTAGGGGAGTCAGATCTAAGTATAAGATTATTTGAGTCTTTACATGTTCTCTAGTGCATGTATTTCAGTGCAATTTTATCATATGTACATTTGTATATACTAGAAAATCCAGCAATGCAAATGAAATGTCTTCCTGCCTTAAACTAGCTCAAAATATGATTCCAACTGGCACATCTTTCCCCAACTGAATGTGCAGAAAGGAGTTACCAGAATCTAAGATTCATTTGATGTACCAATAATTAAACACAAAATTACAACAATGGCAGGAAATCAGAAATATGTAAGACTCTTATCATAATTTATTCCAAAATAATAAATAAATAAATCTGCCAACAGCAGGAGGGTGGATCTGGTGATAATGATGAGTGCACTATGGGGAGACTTGAAAGAATAGGTTAGAGATAGTATAAAATAAAGAATATCTATATGGTCACTAGGAGTTTAAAACGACTTGATGGCACACAAGCAAATCTAAACATCCTTAAGTAAAATTAAGACTTCACACTAAGAAAAAAAAGGTAGGTAATGAAATTTGCAGTGACATAAAATATTGACAGGAATAAAAGATTCTATCATATAGTCTTAGAAGTCTCAATAATTAATCTTCATCTTGGGGATTCAGAAAGAAAGGTGGTGTTAAGGCAATAAGATGATCTGTGGACCGCATAAACTGTGGTGAAAATGCAATTTATTTATTTATTTATTTACTAACTATATCAATTTATATTCCACCATATTCAGGAAAGTTTAGGTGATGTCTAAATTTAAAGGTTGAGTGCAGAACTTTAAAGCTCTTGAGTTCTTAATATAAACTACCTTTTAGTCACAGAGTAAAGTTTCACCATTCTTCTTACCTCCTTCTTATCGCATCTACCCATTCCTGATCTCTATTGTCTTCTTCTGGATCATAAAATAACTCATCATTAGTTGGAATTCGTCGTTGGTGATGTTTTCTTTTTTTTCTGGTTTCTGTAGAAGCTGTCATGTTTGAAACAGATTATATTTGTAGTCATGACACAAAATGTGTAACTCAAAAACAGAAGCCCCTGTTGAATTAACATCCCCTGGGTGGGTATCTATGAAAAATATTCCAAACAGGTATCTCCTAAATGTGATAGTTTAAATTTGGTCTTACCCAGTCTGATATCTCCATATGTGATAGTCACATATGTATATGTTTGGTGGTTCGGGCGCGCACACATTCACGCACATGCGGGCACGCTTTGGGCACTCAGTCTGGAAAAGGTTAGCCATCACTGGACTAAAATCAATGCCATTTTCCAATGGCTTGTATGTGTGTATTGGAGGGGGAAGGAGGAAATACACATTCAATTTTTGTGCAGCTCAAATTCATAGACTAAAGATAATACTGTAATCCTTAAGTAAAAATAAACACATTAGTGACTCTACTCACAAACACAACCTGCATTCACCGTTTCTTTTTGGATAGTGAAATGGGCAATGTATAAATTTAATTAATAAATAAGTGACATCCATGATGTCATCCAGAGAATTGTATACTAAATTTGCATGGAGATGTATATGCGTTCATTTCATTTCATTTCAATTTTTTAAAATTAGCAAACAAATTATAACTAGCACTTCAGATTTTGTGACTTAGTCTGTATTTGGAAGACAAAGGAATTTTACTGTTTATGTTTTTAGACAGGCTATAAAATTATTGGTTATTTACCTGCTGCATCTTCATCATCTGAATCGGAATCAAAATAAATGTCATCATAATACTTAGAAGTGGAGACAGTTCCAGACTGCCCAGCAATAGAAGCATCACCTAAGTCACAAAAAACATACAATTATGAGATCACTCTACATATGCAAATGTGACCTATCCTCCTAGTAATACACTGAAATTCCGTGCAACTGTAATAGCTTTTGTGTTTATATTCTTTATATGTAAGATCAACTGTACTCAACCCAATTAGCATTCTGCTTTCACAGTAATCAACTAAATACCTACAGGAGCCTACAAGCAGAACATGGGTCCAAACACCCTGTCTGTCTCAGCAACTGGTACCAATTTCTAATCCAGGAGGTAATATATGATCAGTGTAGCACTACAAATATAGATGGTCTTATTCTTCATAAGTTGTTCTAATTCTCCTTTAAACCCATGCACTCAGATAGCCATTCCCAGATGTTCATTAATAATAGTTACTTTTTAAGCAATATCTTAGCAAATGATGTATTAATTTTTATTCCGGCATCTCTCAAAAAAACCCAGATATCACCAGCCTGAAAACAATGCTGTGAGTGATTATACTGGAAGAATATGCTTGTTCAAACTACCTAGGATGCAATCCTATACAAAATGCACTCAGAAGTAAATCCCAGGGTAGGATTGCATTGTCAGTTAATTATACAAAAGAGAAACTATTTAATTCAATGTCAATATCCTGGCGTCTCATTACAATGATTCTGTGATTGCACAAATTAAACTGATTTCTCAGTGAATATGAGAAACCCTGTATCTTCTGGACTTAAAATCTTAAATAGGCACGAATTTGCCTCAAATGCTTGGAGTGCCTTGACACAAAAATATCACACACAGCAAATTATCTTTCAGTCTCCAAAGTATAGCTGCCTGAATGGGATTTCTGTTGTTTAAAATTTTAAATGTAGCTGTATTATTAAAAATATATGTAAAATAGAAATTGATATTAGCAACTTTATTAACATTCTCTACATTTCTTGATAGAAAATGTGAAGAGACTGGATATGAAATATAACCTTGAGTGCTGTTGCCCTGTTCACATTTTGTAATTGCATAGAATTAAAAAAACAAGCACTTTGATTTATTTTGGTTATTTTTGTAGCACAATAGGACTCAGGATTACATTTCCATTATCCAGTCTCTTCATATTCCTCAATAATTAGAGCTGAGTATCCCCTCATGGTTACAGCAAATAGGTGAAATTAGTTGAACTGAGCTGATTTCCCAAAACTAATCAGGTTTGAAAAGTCCTGGAAAGCCAATTCATATTTTTAAATTTTGGAAAAATGTTTACCTGGGAGTTGTGACTTCCACTGGCCTTCCATATTTTTCATGGTGCTGCTAAGTTCAGCTTCCATTTCCTTCTGGAATTCATCATCACTAGAAGATTCACTTTCTCCTGTGAGACACTCCCGTATCAGTTTACGCTTCTGGTCTGGGGTGCCATATAAAAGCACATCCACTTCATCTTCAGAACTACACAGTGGTGTAGATGACGAGATTAGAGATCGTTATTTCAAGATGAATATCACACACATGGTCCTTGTTTAACATTACTTAAAGAAGGTATTTCTAAGTAGCTTTTTTAATTAGCAGCTGGCTAGAAACATCAGCTAACAAGAAAAAAAAGTGAGTTTAAGGGTTAGGGTTAGGGTTAGGGTTAGGGTTGAGAGACAATTATTTGAAGAACATTTATGAAAAGTAACTAAGTAAATTTATGTCTGCCCTTTCACAACAGAATTATATTTCAATCTATATATCACTAAAACTCTCAATGGCATGAACTTTAATTGGGCAAAACTAGGTATAATACAGCAACAATTTTTAAACCAAGGTATCTCAAATGGGATAACTTTCAGAATGTGTCCAAAATCCAAGACTGATTATTTATGAGGTTATGAAAATTGGGAAAGATATCCCTGCTTCAATGCTACTGGATGCTCCTTTGGTGACATGATCTTCATTTTTAATGTTCCATGCCAGTTTTCCAGACACTCCCATCGTCTCCCCCCCACCCAGCATCAGCCATTTACCTGCCTGCTGGGAAGAGGTAAGAACGGAGGGAGGGGCGAACTGAAAGAAGGAAGATTTCAAATGCTCCCTGCCAAGCAGCAGGAAGTCCAAAGTTGCTCCTGCTCCCACTGCTTTATTGCCCGCCCTGGTCATTCTGTTTCTCTGTTCGGGTAAGGGAATATTTCTGAAACAATGACCCAAATGAGCACGGATTGTCTAGTATGGGATAATACTCAAATACACTACAAAGTAGCATACCACTGTGCAAAACAGCTTGTTGATTTCTTAGTTAAAAATAAGGAAGAGCGATTCTCAAAATCAAATTTTACAAAGCCGTTTAAGATATTAACTGCGGGAAGAAAAACGTGAAGATCTCAAGGATTTTTTGTTTGCTTGTTTTTGCAAAATATAGAAAGCGGCAGGTTGCAATACACAGCAGTTTCACCTGATCTCAGAGAAGTAACCAATGATCTCTCGACAGTAACTAATTAAAAGGGAAGAGAGGCCTTTCCTGGTTTCTCCTTCTCCGTGACATCCCAACCCCACAAAGACGTAAGAAAACGCAAAGATATTGCCGTCTGCCTTCCCACACCCAAAAGACCTGCTCTGCGCTGGGTCCTCGTCGCTGGGCTCCTCGATCACGTAAGGATCATCTTCTTCCCGCAGAGAACTCATGCCGGCTTCTTCCTTGTAGTAAACAATCCTGGTCTATTCCTTCCCCCAACTAGCACAAAACGCCTTTTCGTCACTTCCTGTTTCCGCTAAGCCTGGGGGGGGGGGTTGGTGCCACCGATTTCTGATTCCGTATAGAAATCCGGAAAACATTTAGTTCCGGTTTCAAACTTCATGCGCCCGTATCTGCATTTCTGCGCCTCTATCTGCTCAGTCATCCAGGTCGTGGTTATCCCAAAGGTGGTTTTTCAAGAGGCAATTGGACTTTCTGGTTTTTTTTTTCTTTGAAGACGTTTCGCTTCTCATCCAGGAAGCTTCTTCAGCTCTGACTGGATGGTGGGGAATGGAAGGATTTATATTCCTTGCACGCCTTCAAAGAAAAAACAAAGTCCAGTTGCCTCTTGAAAAAAACACTTTTGGGACAATTTGATCTTTGAAAAACACCAAGAAAAGGAAAAAGCAGCCAATTAAAGCGACGGAAGTTTTCCAAAAAGCCCAATCTGCCTTAACTCGAAAGGCAAAAAAGAAAAAAAACTCTCCACGCTCGCTCTCCCCTATTAAAATCTGGAGTGATCAGACTGACTGACTGATCACTGGGAATGGGGAAACTTCCCATTCCTATCACCCATCTCCTCCCACTTACGCCTGTATGCCTGTAACTTGATGTATCCTTACAATTTAGTTTCCTAGAATGATTCGATTATTTGTACCCTATGACTATCATTAAGTGTTGTACCTTATGATTCTTGACGAATTTCTTTTATGTACACAGAGCACATGACAAATCCCTTGTGTGTCCAATAAAGAATTCTATTCTATTCTATTCAGGAAAAAGTGTTCTGGATTCATAAGAACCCAGGGAGGAGTTTTTCCTAGTCGCCTGATATGAGTTTGCTTATTAAGACTTAGAATTCTGAATATGGATGTTGGTAGGTTTTTTCTAACTCTTTAGGTACGGAGTAATCAATCATTTTAATTTTAAATTATATTGTATGCGTTTTCCTTAATAAATGTCACTTTCAAAATATTCTAGCCTTTTACCAGTAAAATGCTGTAACATATATAATACATATAACAGCACATAAAGATGCAGTTCATATATCATCCCATAACAATGTTTCTCAAGTTCAGTATTTGAGATTTTGTGGACTCCCAGATTTCCCATCATTTTCTGATTATTTAATTGGATATAACAGGGTGCTGGATAGCAATAAAGACATATATATCGCTTCAATGCTTTACAGCCCTCTCTAAACAGTTTATAGAGTCAGCATATTGCCCCGAACAATCTGGATTTTCATTTTACTGACCTCAGAAGGATGGAAGACTAAGTCGATCTTGAGTCAGTGAGACTAGAACTGCCAGCAGCCAAACCACTGCGCCACCAGAGTTTTCTACATGCTGGATATTAGGAGCCAAGAAAATCAAACTCCTGTTTTCAAGATAGGCTTGTTCTTGCAAACCTCCATTACCTGTAGTTAACTGATAACCTCTGGTGCACAATGGGAAATGAGCAATTTTTCTTGGCTTTATTAAGCCTCAGTACTTTTAAAGATCATACAGCATGGGGAATTTTGTATCGCAACTACAAAGAGTTTAGCAACACAGAGTACTGTTAATTCTAAAATACATGCACAATAGACTTCAAAGTCTAGATTTAGAAATACTGTTTAAAATGTTAATCTCATTCACATGTCCTCTTCTTTTCCCCTCCAGTCATTCCTGTAAATAGTACTTCTGAAGTTTGATGGATTTTCCTTTTCTTCTTTTTGAAGAGAGGGAGGAAAAGCTCTTTTTCAGTCACCCTACTAGTTCCAATTCCTCAAAGATACATGAAAGATTTGACTAGACCATTAGTTCCTTCAGTATCCTATTCATACTGATTTAGAGCTTCCAAAGACTTTTTTATCACATTTCTATTAATATTTAGCTCAATCATTCTCTTCGGTTTCTTACTGGCAAATAATGCTATTGGAGAAGATTGAACCAAAATAGGAGTTGAGTAACTCTGCCTTTTCTGTTACTAGTTAACTTCTAAGCAAATTCCTCTTATAAAGGATTTCCTATGAGTCAGCAGTGTGATGAAATTCCAAAGAAGGCAATGCAATTTTACATGTGTCAACAGAAATTTCCAAATCTGGGAAATAATGATTCAAAGTAGTTCATAGAGTAGTAATGAACTATTCTATATTGTGATCAGATCTTACCTTAAATAGTGTCCAATTCTGGACACTACACTTTAAAAAAATTTAAAAATTGAAACAGGCTGAGGAAGACAACATGTTCAATGGACCAGAAATTATGCCATATGAAGAGAGTGAAAGAACTGGGAAATATTTAACCTTAAAAACAACTGAGGGAAGAAATGAAGGATATCAAGATCTGTGTTTTTTCATTCCAAGGTCTAAAATACAGAATAAGCGATTGTAGAAAGGCAAATTCTAATTGAACGTTAGAAAAAATTCTAACAAAACAGATTGACTGAGAAATTAATTACCCAGTAATTAGAGCCCAGTTGATGGGCTCTGTTTCGTTGAGTATATTCAAGTGGCAACTAAAAGCTGTTTGTGTGGAACACTTTAATTTGGATTCCTCCTCTGAGCAGGAGACTGGACTTGAGGCCCCAAATTGCCTTTTCCAACCCTGTATTCTATATGATCCACTAAACATGTGTCTCAATGTATATATAGTAGTATGGAATCAAGTATTTATTTAAAAACAAACATAATTAAAAAGTATAAAGTGGAGACAATTGTCAGATCACCAGGCTTAACAATTACAATGATACAATGACTTGTGATTTTAGAAAAATTCAATGATTGCGCTGTTTATTTTACAGTAATTGGGATTAGTCTACAAGTTAAGGCAAATATACTAATGCATTTGCTTTTTTTCTGAAGTTGTATTATAAAGATTACATAAAGTTTGCTCCAAAATTTCTAGGAAATGTTATTTGAAAAAGTTAAGATGCTTGATAACAATATGTGAAATAACCAATACAATGCTTTACAGTAACATTATCCAAACACCTAGTGGCAATATTTAATTGTTTTGAAACCATATGTTTCAAATCAGCTTCAGACATTACAAAGGTAGTAAAATAAGAGTGGCAGCAATATTTAACACTAGCTTTAAACAAAAACATAATTCTATTGGCTACTCTCACAAAAGAAAGACTCAGAACATTTGGTTTCTTAGACAATAAGAGTGTACAGTGATTAAATTAACGTGACTATTTGTATGTAGCAAATATATTGTTGCTTCATATAATTTGGAATTATTCTGATACGCTTATGTGGTTTTTTTTTTGGAAAAAAGGAACATGTTTGTGTATCCTTTGCCACCAAATTTACCAAGCTGTAAATATTAACTCATTATCCTTTGCCACCAAATTCACCAAGTTGTAAATATTAACTCAAAGTCGTAAACTCCAGTGGAAGGCAGCCCTTATTAACAGGATGACAGATTCTAGTTTATGTATCACCATTAAGCACTGCCAGACAACTCTGCAACAGCTGTAAATTGCCCTGTAGTAATGAAAAAAACACAGAGGTCACTGTTAATTTGTGATTTCCTCCTATCTCAAACTAGTAATATTATTAGAGATGTATATCATTATAAGTGAACTGAGAAGACAGTATTTTATATAATCCAGTTTCAGTACAAATCATGCTGGGATTTAGTATTTTCATAAACTGCTCTTACAGCTGTTACACATTGCTAACACTGGCATGTTCAGCTAAAGTGCAAGTGGAAGCAATTTGATATTCATTTTTTAAATTGCAAATATTCTGTTAATGTCTCAAATTGGTACTGAAAGCAATGACAATATATAATAAAACATAAATTCAATACTTAAAACTCAATTTACCAATTAAAATGTAAAGATTAAGATATACAAAACTAAAAACAAATTTACTGCCGTCATTTTCTGAGTACTCCAATGATTTCAACACATTATTTGATTAGTGTCTGCCAGAATCCCAGAATTCTCAGCAATTGTCATATTGTTTTTCAGGAATTGTGATAATTAAAACCTACACAGCAGAAGAATACCCAGGCTGGGGAAGTCTGAGTGTAGTTATTTTTACTTATTAGGCTTATACGCTAGTAAGTTCAATCAAAGTTGACCCTCAGTTTTCAAAGATTGTTTTAAGAAAAGAAACATTAAGCTTAAGTAACTTTACAGATATAAAACAGGCAAAAAGACTGAATTAGAATTTAAGAAAAGTTTTAAATGGATTAAGGGACCAAAAAAACTGGGATATTAGGACTTTTGCTAAAGTCCTGTTGAAAAAATTAATAAACAAAACATTTCCATGGGAATGCATACTGTTTATTCTACCAGAAAGATCATTGGTGGAAAGTTGAAAACAAAACAGTAATGAAACCTGAAATTTCATGAATATAAAAATGGACCATTAGAGGGAATTAAAGTTTCAGGCAAGAAAAAGAAAAGTGAAATCTGCAAAATGAGAAATAAAGTTATGACATTTGACACATTTTTAAGAACTGGGAAAGAAATTTATAACCAATCTGACAGCAATTATCGCTGTACCTGAAAATGTATTTTTCAGATGATTATAAAGAAGAAAGAAATATGTGGCAGACAAAACTATGGAAGAATATATGGATAGACAGGATGAAGAGGAGATACAAATATTAGTTCATAGAGAAATATGAACTAATATGGGGGGGAGAGAAATTGAAGGTTATAAGACAGATATCATAGAATGAAAACACACATCACACAAAGATTTAAAAGGTGACAAAATGATAAAGAAGGAACTGGGCAAGGACTTATTTTTTTATTTACAAAAGGGATTTAAGGAAAAAAATATATAATAAACTAAAATAACCTGCTAAACAAAATAGTTTATCTAAGAGACATAACTTTCTCTCTTACTCCTTTTCACTAAAACATCTATCCAACATCTATCCATCACTGCTGCTATGAAAGCCACATCCCC